TGTGTGTTGTGTTGTGTGGGCTGTGTATATGCTGGGGGTTGTGTGTGCGAAGGGTGGGCGTCATGTGTGTGTGTTGTGTTGTGTGGGCTGTGTATATGCTGGGGGTTGTGTGTGTGGATGGTGGGGGTTGTGTGTGTGTGTTGTGTTGTGTGGGCTGTGTATATGCTGAGGGTTGTTTGTGGTTGGTGGGGGTTGTGTGTGTGTGTTGTGTTGTGTGGGCTGTGTATATGGTGGGGGTTGTGTGTGGATGGTGGGGGTTGTGTGTGTGTGTTGTGTTGTGTGGGCTGTGTATATGCTGAGGGTTGTGTGTGTGAAGGGTGGGGGTCGTGTGTGTGTTGTGTTGTGTGGGCTGTGTATATGCTGAGGGTTGTGTGTGTAGATGGTGGGGGTTGTGTGTGTGTTGTGTTGTGTGGGCTGTGTATATGCTGGGGGTTGTGTGTGAAGGGTGGGCGTCGTGTGTGTGTGTTGTGTTGTGTGGGCTGTGTATATGCTGGGGGTTGTGTGTGGATGGTGGGGGTTGTGTGTGTGTGTTGTGTTGTGTGGGCTGTGTATATGCTGGGGGTTGTGTGTGTGTGGACGGTGGCGGTTGTGTGTGTCTCCCAGCTCTGTGAGTTTCTTGCGTGGCCGAGGTTGCGTACGCTGTGTGTGTGTTGTGTGTTGTGTGTCCATGTCCCCAGTCCCTGGCTCTCCCCCGCAGGCTCTAGCCTGGCAAGTGCCATGGCTGGGGCCTGAAGGACCCGGGACAGCTGCGTCCAGCCCCCCCCCCCCGCCCCCACCCACGTCACTGTCGCAAAGGGAACCGGACACCACAACACACACGTGCCTCAGGAACACACACGCTCACCCCCTGCCTCTCCCCCGCTGAGCCACACAGCCCAGCCAAGATAGGAGAGAACCCAGGAGTCCTGGCTCCCAGCCCCCACTGCTCTGACCCCCCAGCCCCCACTCCCCTCCCAGAGGTGGTGAGAGAACCCAGGAGTCCTGGCTCCCAGCCCCCCCCTGCTCTGACCCCCCAGCCCCCACTCCCCTCCCAGAGCCGGGGAGAGAACCCAGGAGTCCTGGCTCCCAGCCCCCCCTGCTCTGACCCCCCAGCCCCCACTCCCCTCCCAGAGGTGGTGAGAGAACCCAGGAGTCCTGGCTCCCACCCCCCCGTGCTCTGACCCCCCAGCCCCCACTCCCCTCCCAGAGGTGGTGAGAGAACCCAGGAGTCCTGGCTCCCACCCCCCTGCTCTGACCCCCCAGCCCCCACTGCCCTCGCAGAGGTGGAGAGAGAACCCAGGAGTCCTGGCTCCCAGCCCCCCCCTGCTCTGACCCCCCAGCCCCCACTGCCCTCGCAGAGGTGGAGAGAGAACCCAGGAGTCCTGGCTCCCAGCCCCCCCCCCAGCTCTGACCCCCCACCCCCCACTGCCCTCCCCGAGCCCGGAGAGAACCCAGGAGTCCCAGACTCTGGATCTGGGCCCCCTGACCCCAGATCAGCCTGTTCTCAGGGTGGGGCGGGGGGGGGGCGGGTGACAAGTCAGTGACTCAGAGGGGAAAAGTCGCCCTGGCCTTTGAATGCCCCCCCCGCCCCCCCCCCCCCCCGCCACAAGTGTCTCACGGCGACAGACGCTGACACCGGACAGCTGGGAATGGGCTAAAATAGGAGACAGCACATCAGCCCCCCCCCCCCGCCGCTTCCCCCCCCCCCCCCGCCACCCGACCTTTCTCTGCTCAGCAGCTCCTCCCCTCCTCCCCTCCCAGCGCCGGGGTGAGAACCCAGGAGTCCTGGCACCCAGCCCCCCAGCTCTAACCCACCAGGCCCCCACTCCCCTCCCGGAGCCGGGGAGAGAACTCAGGAGTCCTGCCGCCCATCCCTCCTGCTCTAACCCACCAGGCCCCCACTCCCCTCCCGGAGCCGGGGTGAGAACCCAGGAGTCCTGGCACCCAGCCCCCCAGCTCTAACCCACCAGGCCCCCACTCCCCTCCCGGAGCCGGGGTGAGAACCCAGGAGTCCTGGCACCCAGCCCCCCAGCTCTAACCCACCAGGCCCCCACTCCCCTCCCGGAGCCGGGGTGAGAACCCAGGAGTCCTGGCACCCAGCCCCCCAGCTCTAACCCACCAGGCCCCCACTCCCCTCCCGTAGCCAGGGTGAGAACCCAGGAGTCCTGGCACCCAGCCCCCCAGCTCTAACCCACCAGGCCCCACTCCCCTCCCGGAGCCGGGGAGAGAACCCAGGAGTCCTGGCACCCTGCTGCCCCGGTGGTTTCCTGTCCCAGCGTGCCGGGGTGATGATGTCTCTGTTTAATTTTAGGGGGCAACACCAGGGGCCTCGTGAAGTAGCAGGCGGGGCGCGGGGGCGGCTGTCACGGGAGGGGGCAGGGCCGGGGTGGGGTGGGGGCTGCCAGGCGCCAGGGCAAATGCCCGGCCTAAAATGCCCTTGGGGTGAGCGGAGGACACGGGCCTCGCAGGGCCTCCTGCCCCCTCCCCCATCCCCTCTTGCCCCTCCCCCTCGTCCCTGCCCCTCCCCTACCTCTTCCCCCACCATTGCCCCCTCTCCCCTCCCCCGCCCTGTGCCCACCCCTCTGCCGCCTCCCTATCTCTGGCCCCTCCCCCCACACCCCTCTGCTCCTCTCCCCAAGCGGGGGGGGGGGGGGGAAGCTCAGATAGTTGGGGGGTGACACATCCTGCACTAGGGGAGCAAAGGGGGGCTGTGAGGGGCTCAGGGGAGGGGGTTGAGGGAGGCTGAGCCTGGGGGGAGGGAAATACTGCGGCTTCCCCCCCCAGCAAGTCCTCGTCCCTCCCCCCACACCTGTAGGTTCCCCCTTCCACCCCCCAATTCTAAGTGAAAGTCGGTGATTCCTTCCGTGTTGCTAAAATTAGCCCAGAGGTCACCTTAACTGACCCCCCCAGCTTCCCCCTCCCCCCACCTGTGCCCCCCCCGAATCTCCCCCCCCACATGTTCTCCCACAGAGCGCCCCCGCTAAATAACCACCCAGCCGCCCCCCCCCAAAATCTTTCCTGACACCCGCCCTCCCACCAAACACAGGAAAACGCGCCACCCCAGCAGGGGGCACCGTCCCCCCACTGAATTCCCCCACCTGGTCCTTAAATTTCTACTCCGAATCAAGGCGGGAAGCCACTGTCTTTCCGGCCTACGACAGCCAGGCTGGCAAGGCAAGTTTGCCGAAAGGGGACCGGCGCGCTCGAATTAATTAAGATATTAATGATTAAGATACTGTCCGAGTAAAAAGAAGACGGCCCAGAGTTTAAGCGGAGGAGTTTCTGGGTACCCGGGAAGAAAGTACGCAGTATCAAGGGGTGTGAAATTCGGTTGAGGAGTGGGTGGCGTAAGGGATGCACCATCTGCAGTCTCCCCGATTGGGGGGTGAAAGTTTAACCGGGCAAAGTATGGACATTGCGATACGGCGGGGGGGGGGGGGGTGTGTGTGTTGTCCATGGCTCTGTTCAGCCGTGGAGTACACCGAGCGGATACCATGATGGGGATGGATCTACCCTCGTTGGGTGGGATTTCACGCGCAGTGAGTTTCGGGGTCCGGTTCATAGGGTCCAACGGCGAAAGCCTCCCAGTCCCTTTCCCGGAGTGGATGCACGATGCCTTGCCGGCTCACGCCTCCTGACGGGTCGGTGGCCGGCGCTGCGGTCGATGGAGAGGTCCCTGGGCCATCGGGCGACCTCCGAGCCGTGCGTAGCGTCGACCGAGCCCGCAGGCCCGCAGCCCACGCTCGTTGCAGGGGTCCCGAGCGACGATCGGGGCGTGCATCCAACCTCCCCCCCCCTGTATTTTCCACTGCACGCAGCCGGTGAAGGGAGCCGCAGCTCACGAAAGCTCATGCTCAAATAAATGGGTTCGTCTCTAAGGTGCCACAAGTCCCCCTGTTCTTTTTGGGGATACCGACTAACACGGCTGCTCCTCGGAAACCATCTGCACCCCGCAGCCCTTCGCTCTCAGGGAGTCGGCCGGGGGGGGGGGGGGGCTTGTTTTCCCAGCTAACGAGCTCGGGATTCACAAACCCTGGTGGTAAACCGTTAACGGAAGAGAGCGCTTTGACGAAAAGCTTCAGACTTAAGTCAAGTTATGTTTTGTGGGGAGGAGTTCAAGTTCTATGTTACCTGTGCGGAAGAGGGAACAGAACCCAGGAGTCCTGGCTCCCAGCCCCCCCAGCTCTAACCACCAGCCCCCACTCCCCTCCTAGAGCAGGGGAGAGAACCCAGGAGTCCTGGCTCCCAGCCTCCCACTCTCCTCCCAGAGCCAGGGAGAGAACCCCGGAGTCCTGGCTCCCAGCCCCCCAGCTCTAACCACCAGCCCCCACTTCCCTCCTAGAGCAGGGGAGAGAACCCAGGAGTCCTGGCTCCCAGCCCCCCAGCTCTAACCACCAGCCCCCACTTCCCTCCTAGAGCAGGGGAGAGAACCCAGGAGTCCTGGCTCCCAGCCCCCCAGCTCTAACCACCAGCCCCCACTTCCCTCCTAGAGCAGGGGAGAGAACCCAGGAGTCCTGGCTCCCAGCCCCCCAGCTCTAACCACCAGCCCCCACTCCCCTCCTAGAGCAGGGGAGAGAACCCAGGAGTCCTGGCTCCCAGCCTCCCACTCTCCTCCCAGAACCAGGGAGAGAACCCCGGAGTCCTGGCTCCCAACCCCCCCCCCTGCTCTAACCACCAGCCCCCACTCCCCTCCCAGAGCAGGGGAGAGAACCCAGGAGTCCTGGCTCCCAGCCCCGCCTGCTCTAACCCACCAGTCCCCACTCCCCTCCCAGGGCCAGGGAGAGAACCCAGGAGTCCTGGCTCCCAACCCCCCTTGCTCTAACCACCAACCCCCACTCCCCTCCCAGAGCAGGGGAGAGAACCCAGGAGTCCTGGCTCCCAGCCCCGCCTGCTCTAATCCACCAGTCCCCACTCCCCTCCCAGAGCCAGGGAGAGAACCCAGGAGTCCTGGCTCCCAGCCCCGCCTGCTCTAACCACCAGCCCCCACTCCCCTCCCAGAGCAGGGGAGAGAACCCAGGAGTCCTGGCTCCCAGCCGACCCCTCCCCCCAGCGTTCTGGCTGGTGGGGAAATCACTAGGGGCTGGAGCCAATCCGCGCCGTGGGGCGGGAGGCCCCGGCCATCCGCAGCCGCCCAAGGACTCCCTGTCCCGGCCCCTGGCACACGCGTCTCGGTCCCGGTGCCTGCAGCCGCCCTGCCCGCCTCCGCCTTCCTCAGCTCCCCTCCGCCGGCGGCTCCCTCCCCCCCTCCCGGGGGGCTCTGTCTCTCCGGTCGGTCCCCGGCCCCTCCGGTCGCCTCCGGTCGGTCCCCGGCCCCTCCGGTCGGTCCCCTTCCTCTTTCCCACGCGCTCTTCCCTTCTCCGCCTTTCATTTCCCCTTTCCCCCGTTCCCTCCATCCCCTGCCCCCTGGTGATTCCTCAGGCCCTCCTGCCTTCACTCCTCCTTTTCCCCATTCTCCCGCTTCTCCCCCCCGGGCCGGTCCGTCTTTCCTTTTTCATTCCCTCTTTCCCCTCTGCTCGCCCTTCCCCGTCCCCTTCTGGCTTTTCCTCTCCCTTCGGGTCTCCTCTAGTTCCCATTCCCTTTCTTTCTTTCTTTCTTTCTTTCTTTCTTTCTTTCTTTCTTTCTTTCTTTCTCATTTAATCTCTTCTTTCTTTCTTTCTTTCTTTCTTTCTTTCTTTCTTTCTTTCTTTCTTTCTTTCTCATTTAATCTCTTCTTTCTTTCTTTCTTTCTCATTTAATCTCTTCTTTCTTTCTTTCTTTCTTTCTGTCTGTCTGTCTCCCCCGCCCCAGGATCTCGGGTCAGGTCTAACAGACCGTCCTGGGGGCTCGACCTTTCCATTTCTTCGCACAAGACCCAAGGCGCCCCCCCCGTCCCGCCCCGCCGGGGGTCTCTGTCCCTCCCGGGGCTCCGAGCCGCCGAGATGCCGACGGGATTTCAGCAGATCAGCAGAGAGGAGGTAAAACCGGCCGGATTGGAGCTGGGGGGGTTGAGGCAGAGCAAGAATATGGGGCCTTGGGGGGGCTGTAGGGGGTGATGGGGCTGGGGGGTCAGTGTGGGGCCATGAGGGGCAGTGGGGAGTGATGGGGGCTGTGGGGGGTCAGCGTGGGGCTATGGGGGGCAGCATGGGGCTGTAGGGAGTGATGGGGACCTTGGGGGCCATCGTGGGGCCATAAGGGGCAGTGGGGAGTGATGGATCTGGGGGGGGTCAGTGTGGGGGCAGGTGGGGCCATGGGGGGCAGCGTGGGGCTATGTGGGGCAGTGGGGAGCAATGGGGACTGTGGGGGGCAGCGTGGGGCCATGGGGACAATGGAGGCCGTGGGGGACAGTGGGGGGCCATGGGGAGCAGTGGGGAGTGATGGGGCTGGGAGGTCAGTGTGGGGCCATGGGGGGCAGCATGGGGCTATGAGGGGCAGCGTGGGGCCATGGGGGGCTGTAGGGAACAATGGGGACCATGGGGGTCAGTGTGGGGCCATGGGGGGCTGTGGGGAGTGATGGGGACTGTGGGGGGGCAGCATGGGGCTGTGAGGGGCAGTGGGGGGTGATGGAGACCATTAGGGACAGTGTGGGGCCATGGGGGGCTGTGAGGAACAATGTGGACCATGGGGGTCAGTGTGGGGCCATGGGGGGCTGTGGGGGGCAGCGTGGGGCCATGGGGGTGGCTGGGGGGGCATGGGGGGTGATGGGGGCCATGAGGGGCAGTTGGGGAGTGGTGGCGCTGGGGGGTCAGTGTGGGGCCATGGGAAGCTGTGGGGAATGATGGGGACTGTGGGGGACAGCATGGGGCTGTGAGGGGCAGTGGGGGGTGATGGAGGCCATTAGGGACAGTGTGGGGCCATGGGGGGCTGTGAGGAACAATGTGGACCATGGGGGGCAGCGTGGGGCCATGGGGGGCAGCGCGGGGCTGGGGGGGCATGGGGGGCGATGGGGGCCATGAGGGGCAGTTGGGGAGTGATGGCACTGGGGGGTCAGTGTGGGGCCATGGGAGGCAGCATGGGGCTGGGGGGGTGACGGGGGGCAGCATGGGGCCATGGGGGGCCGTTTGAGGACTGCAGCTGGGACAGTGCAGGGGTGCCAAGTGGGGGGCAGTATAGGCCAGGGGGAAGGGGGGGACTGTGAGCGAAACTGGGGGTGCCTTGCAGTGGGTTGCATCCGCCCTGATTCTCCTTGAGCTTATTGAGTTTTGGAGGCTGTCTGTTCCCCACATTTAACGTCCAGTCCCATCCCCCCCCCGCCCCCCGCCAGCTCCCCTCCTCCCTGGCAATAAAATCCTGCCCCCTGGCCATGGCATTAACGAGGAAAACGTGGGGCTATTTATACTCCACCCATTGTGTAAGGGCGGGTGGGGGTGGGGGGCGTGACCCACCTCACGTGTCTGGGCTGCCCTGAGTTATTCGTCATACGTGTGGGGGGGGGGCACGGGGGCCTCTGGCTTGGTATCCGGGACACGTGGGGGGTCTGTGGGATATGGGGCATGCATGTCTGTTGTGCTGCCTGGATTCACCGGGCGGGGAGCAGTCTGTAGGGTGCATAGGACACACGTGGGATGCTTGATCTAGGTTACACGGCGGGCGGGTGTTAGTCATACAGCCCAGGTGGGGCATGTCTGCATGGTGTCTCGCACACGGGTGTGACGCCGTGGGGCTGGACCGGGGCACACGGCTCCCGGGTGCGTTCGTGCGGCTGTCATATCGCTCGGGCCCCACGAGGGCACCAGCCGTTCTGGTCAATTTCCCGAGCCAAAAAATCTCCCTTTCATGATTTCAGCCCCGCTCTGAAGGCAGCCCAGAAGTAAAGGTGGAGATACCGCGACCCCCCCTAAAATAACCTTGTGACCCGCCCTCCCCCCCAACTCCCTTTTGGGTCAGGACCCCCATTTGAGAAACGCTGGTCTCCCCCGTGAAATCTGTGTAGTATAGAGTAAAAGCACACGAAACATCAGATTTCACGGCTGGGGGGGCACCAGATTTCCCTGGGGGGAGTCTGGATTTCACAGCAGGGAGACCGGATTTCACGGGGGGGGGGGGAGAGACCGGATTTCACGGGGGAGGAGACCGGATTTCACGGGGGAGGAGACCAGATTTCACAGGGAGGAGACCAGATTTAATGGCGGGGGAGACCGGATTTCTTGAGGGAGGAGACCGGATTTCACAGGTAGCAGACCGGATTTCACAGGGGAGGAGACCGGATTTCACGGGGGAGGAGACCGGATTTCACGGGGGAGGAGACTGGATTTCACGGGGGAGGAGAGACCGGATTTCACGGGGGAGGAGACCGGATTTCACAGGGGAGGAGACCGGATTTCACGGGGGAGGAGACCGGATTTCACGGGGAGGATACCAGATTTAATGGCGGGGGAGACCGGATTTCTTGAGGGAGGAGACCGGATTTCACTGGTAGGAGACCGGATTTCACAGGGGAGGAGACCGGATTTCACGGGGGAGGAGACCGGATTTCACGGGGGAGGAGACCGGATTTCACTGGTAGGAGACCAGATTTCACAGAGGAGGAGACCGGATTTCACGGGGGAGGAGACTGGATTTCACGGGGGAGGAGACCGGATTTCACGGGGGAGGAGACTGGATTTCACGGGGGAGGAGACCGGATTTCACTGGTAGGAGACCAGATTTCACAGAGGAGGAGACTGGATTTCACAGGGGAGGAGACCGGATTTCACGGGGGAGGAGACCGGATTTCATGGGGGAGGAGACTGGATTTCACGGGGGAGGAGACCGGATTTCACGGGGGAGGAGACTGGATTTCACAGGGGAGGAGACTGGATTTCACGGGGGAGGAGACTGGATTTCACGGGGGAGGAGACCGGATTTCACAGGGAGGATACCAGATTTAATGGCGGGGGAGACCGGATTTCTTGAGGGGGGAGACCGGATTTCACAGGTAGCAGACCGGATTTCACTGGTAGGAGACCAGATTTCACAGAGGAGGAGACTGGATTTCACAGGGGAGGAGACCGGATTTCATGGGGGAGGAGACTGGATTTCACAGGTAGCAGACCGGATTTCACTGGTAGGAGACCAGATTTCACAGAGGAGGAGACTGGATTTCACAGGGGAGGAGACCGGATTTCATGGGGGAGGAGACTGGATTTCACAGGGGAGGAGACCGGATTTCACAGGTAGGAGACCAGATTTCACAGAGGAGGAGACTGGATTTCACAGGGGAGGAGACTGGATTTCACGGGGGTGGGGAAGACCAGATTTCACAGGGGAGGAGACCGGATTTCACTGGTAGGAGACCAGATTTCACAGAGGAGGAGACTGGATTTCACAGGGGAGGAGACTGGATTTCACGGGGGAGGAGACTGGATTTCACAGGGGAGGAGACCGGATTTCACGGGGGAGGAGACCGGATTTCACTGGTAGGAGACCAGATTTCACAGAGGAGGAGACTGGATTTCACGGGGGAGGAGACCGGATTTCATGGGGGAGGAGACTGGATTTCACAGGGGAGGAGACTGGATTTCACAGGGGAGGAGACCGGATTTCACGGGGGTGGGGAAGACCAGATTTCACAGTCTATGACGCGTTTTTCATGGCCATGGATTTGGTAGGGCCCCGTTTCCAGCCCACGTGAGGAGTCTGTCTGTTACCTAGAACACACGTGTGAAGCCGTGTCTCGGCTCGGTTACATAGCACAGGAATGGGAGAGTGGCTTTTGTTTCACGGGACAGGGGTGGGGCGTTGGGGAGCTGAGTTATATGGAACAAACGCGTGGGGCTGTAAAGCTGGTCCGTGTTACAGAGCACGCATGAGAGGGATAGTGGGCCTATGTTATATAAAACACGTGTGGTCATCTGATATATGTTTTGTAGCATGTGGGGGGTAGTGTGTTTCTAAGACACATACACCTCCTAGTGTTTCTGTAACACTGCACCATGGGGGGGCATGTGTCTGTTATTCTGAACATGTGTGGGGCACCGTGTTTTGTCTATGTTATGCCGTGCTCCTGGGGGCACCGTGTGTCTGTTATACTCCATACGTGCGAGGGTTAAAATGTCCCATGCCAGACGGACCATATACGTGACGCTGGCTGTTATACTGGACACACACGTGGCTCTTTGTCGCTGGCCTGGGTTATGTGGCAGACGTGAGGCTAAGCATGCCTCTTATAGCACGTATGTGTGGGATCGTGTCAGATCTATGTTCTCGAGCACCCGTGAGGGTCGTGTGCCTATTGACACTCACACATGCGGTGTGATGTCGGGCCTATGTTGTATAGCACATGTGTGGGTAGCGTACCTATTAGAACACATACCTGGGCGTGGTGTCAGGTCTGTGTTAGGTCGCACACGCGTGCGGTGTCGTGGCAGGTCTGTGTTATGTAGCTGTCACAGAGTCCCCGGTGTGGGGGTGCCTCAGTTTCCCCTAGGCAGTTCTTACGTATCTAGGGGGTGGGATAAGGGTGTATGATCCTTGCAGAGCCCTAGAGGGCAGGGGTGTGCAGGGGTCTGGACACAGAGAATGGCCGACACCCTGTTTCCTGGCACCTGATGGCCTGGGCCCTTCCCCCCTGCAAGGTGAGAGCTAAAGGGTTGGAGAACAAAGGAATCCGGTGACCTCCTGGCCCGGGAAAGGGACAAAGCCCAGGGGAGGGGGGGCTGGGGGGAGTTTCAGTTTGGGGCTGGCTGGGGACATGGAGTGAAGGGCAGACAGGGTTGTCTGGCTCACTGCCCCCCAAAATAGACCCAGCTGAGGGGTCCTGTTCTCTGCACCTACAAGCTCTGTGTTAGACCATGTTCCTGTCGTCTAATAAACCTTCTGTGTTACTGGCTGGCTGAGAGTCCCGTCTGACTGCGGAGTTGGGGGGCAGGACCCTCTGGCTGCCCCAGGACCCCGCCTGGGCGGCCTCGCTGGGGGAAGCGCACGGAGGGGCAGAGGAGGCTGAAGGCTCCGAGGCACAGCTCACACAGCTTCCACCTTCCTGGGTCTGACGGTGGCGTGGGCGGGGGTGTGGCGTCAGGCCTGGGTTGGGCGGCGCGGGCGGGGGGTGCTGCGTCAGGCCTGGGTTGGGCGGCGTGGGGGGGGGGTGCTGCGTCAGGCCTGGGTTGGGCGGCGCGGGGGGGTGGGGCGTCAGGCCTGGGTTGGGCGGCGCGGGCGGGGGTGGCGTCAGGCCTGGGTTGGGCGGCGCGGGGGGTGGGGGTGTCAGGCCTGGGTTGGGCGGCGCGGGGGGCGGCGTCAGGCCTGGGTTGGGCGGCGCGGGCGGGGGGTGCGGCGTCAGGCCTGGGTTGGGTGCCGCGGGCGGGTGGGGTGGGGCGTCAGGCCTGGGTTGGGCGGCGCGGGCGGGGGTGCGGCGTCAGGCCTGGGTTGGGTGGCGCGGGGGGGTGGGGTGTCAGGCCTGGGTTGGGTGCCGCGGGCGGGTGGGGTGGGGCGTCAGGCCTGGGTTGGGCGGCGCGGGGCGGGGGTGCGGCGTCAGGCCTGGGTTGGGCGGCGTGGGGGGGGTGCTGCGTCAGGCCTGGGTTGGGCGGCGCGGGGGGGGGGGGGCGTCAGGCCTGGGTTGGGCGGCGCGGGCGGGGGGTGGCGTCAGGCCTGGGTTGGGCGGCGCGGGGGGGTGGGGTGTCAGGCCTGGGTTGGGCGGCGCGGGGGGGGCGGCGTCAGGCCTGGGTTGGGCGGCGCGGGCGGGGGTGCGGCGTCAGGCCTGGGTTGGGTGCCGCGGGCGGGTGGGGTGGGGCGTCAGGCCTGGGTTGGGCGGCGCGGGCGGGGGTGCGGCGTCAGGCCTGGGTTGGGCGGCGCGGGGGGGTGGGGTGTCAGGCCTGGGTTGGGTGCCGCGGGCGGGTGGGGTGGGGCGTCAGGCCTGGGTTGGGCGGCGCGGGCGGGGGTGCGGCGTCAGGCCTGGGTTGGGCGGCGCGGGGGGGTGGGGTGTCAGGCCTGGGTTGGGCGGCGCGGGCAGGGGGTGCGGCGTCAGGCCTGGGTTGGGCGGCGCGGGCGGGGGTGGGGGCGTCAGGCCTGGGTTGGGGGCCGCGGGCGGGGGGTGGGGCGTCAGGCCTGGGTTGGGCGACGCGGGGGTGCGGCGTCAGGCCTGGGTTGGGCGGCGCGGGCGGGGGGTGCGGCGTCAGGCCTGGGTTGGGCGGCGCGGGGGGGGCGGCATCAGGCCTGGGTTGGGCGGCGCGGGGGGGGGTGCGGCGTCAGGCCTGGGTTGGGCGGCGCGGGCGGGGGGTGGGGCGTCAGGCCTGGGTTGGGCGGCGCGGGCGGGGGTGGGGCGTCAGGCCTGGGTTGGGCGGCGCGGGCGGGGGTGCGGCGTCAGGCCTGGGTTGGGCGGCGCGGGGGGCGGCGTCAGGCCTGGGTTGGGCGGCGCGGGCGGGGTGGGGCGTCAGGCCTGGGTTGGGCGGCGCGGGGGGGGTGGGGTGTCAGGCCTGTGTTGGGCGGCGCGGGGGGCGGCGTCAGGCCTGGGTTGGGCGGCGCGGGGGGGGTGGGGTGTCAGGCCTGTGTTGGGCGGCGCGGGGGGCGGCGTCAGGCCTGGGTTGGGTGGCGCGGGCGGGGGGCGGCGTCAGGCCTGGGTTGGGCGGCGCTGGCGGGGTGGGGGCGTCAGGCCTGGGTTGGGCGGCGCGGGCGGGGGGTGCGGCGTCAGGCCTGGGTTGGGCGGCGCGGGGGGGCGGCGTCAGGCCTGAGTTGGGGGCCGTGGGCGGGGGGTGCGGCGTCAGGCCTGGGTTGGGCGGCGCGGGCGGGGTGGGGCGTCAGGCCTGTGTTGGGCGGCGCGGGGGGCGGCGTCAGGCCTGGGTTGGGCGGCGCGGGCGGGGGGTAGGGCGTCAGGCCTGGGTTGGGTGACGCGGGCGGGGGGTGGGGGCGTCAGGCCTGGGTTGGGCGGCGCGGGGGGGTGGGGCGTCAGGCCTGTGTTGGGCGGCGCGGGGGGGCGGCGTCAGGCCTGGGTTGGGCGGCGCGGGCGGGGGTAGGGCGTCAGGCCTGGGTTGGGCGACGCGGGCGGGGGGTGGGGCGTCAGGCCTGGGTTGGGCGGCGCGGGCGGGGGGTGCGGCGTCAGGCCTGTGTTGGGCGGCGCGGGGGGGCGGCGTCAGGCCTGGGTTGGGCGGCGCGGGCGGGGGGTGCGGCGTCAGGCCTGGGTTGGGCGGCGCGGGCGGGGGTGCGGCGTCAGGCCTGGGGTTGGGCGGCGCGGGCGGGGTGGGGCGTCAGGCCTGTGTTGGGCGGCGCGGGGGGGGCGGCGTCAGGCCTGGGTTGGGCGGCGCGGGCGGGGGGTAGGGCGTCAGGCCTGGGTTGGGTGACGCGGGCGGGGGGTGGGGCGTCAGGCCTGGGTTGGGCGGCGCGGGGGGTGGGGCGTCAGGCCTGTGTTGGGCGGCGCGGGGGGTGCGGCGTGAGGCCTGGGTTGGGCGGCGCGGGGGGGGTGGGGTGTCAGGCCTGTGTTGGGCGGCGCGGGGGGGGCGGCGTCAGGCCTGGGTTGGGCGGCGCGGGCGGGGGGTGCGGCGTCAGGCCTGTGTTGGGCGGCGCGGGGGGGGCGGCGTCAGGCCTGGGTTGGGCGGCGCGGGCGGGGGTGCGGCGTGAGGCCTGGGTTGGGCGGCGCGGGCGGGCGATAAAACATCTCTGTTCTGGAAAAGCTCGGGGGGGGTCTCCTCAGTGGGGGCGATTATCCCCCCCACATTTTTCCCTGCCCCCCATGAGCGACACTGAGGCAGTAGCCAGAGGACACTTTTCATGGGGGGGGCCCTGTGGGGTTCGGGGGGGTTCGTAGAGCGGGGTGGGGGGGGGCTGGTGATGGAAACATGGCTCTGGCCGGGGCATCGCCCCATTCTCTGTACCAAGCTGGCAGAGAGGTGGGGGCCAGGGGCAGGGGTGTTACCCATGGGGCAGCCCTGCCCCCTGCTGGAGAGAATCGGGGGGGGGTGACCCCGGGAGCGAGGCCCTGCGTTCAGCCGCAGGTGGGGGCGCGGCCGGAAGGGTTTGGACCCTGATTTGCCTCCGGTCTGTTTGGATAAGGCAGGAGTTGCCTCCAGGCCTGGGGTGCGCTCTGTGTGTTTGCACGGAGGAATGGGGGGTGTATGGGGGGGGCGGCTCTGGGCCCCCGGCCGTGCCCCAGGTGCAGGGGGGTTGATACCTGCAGCCCGGCCCCCAGGCTCAGCCCAAGGGTCTCCCACCAGCCCCCAGCCAGCCAGCCCCCACCGGGAGCCGCCCGCCCCCCTGAGCCAGCCAGGCCCCGCCCTGGGGCTTAGGGGAGGTGTGCGGGGGGGGGGGGGGGGGGGCACTGTTTACATTTCCTGGGTTTCCCAGCTCTGGGGCTTTTCCTAATAAGGGCTTTTTTTTCGGCTGAGGCTTCTCTGGGGCAGGGCCCAGGCCCTTCATGGCCATTAGCGTGAGAACGTGGGGGGATGGGAAGGGATCAGGCCCCCCTGTTTTATAATCACCCCCCACACAGACACACTGATAGGGGGGTGCTGATCCCCGATATTTCAGGAGAGCCCGCCACCGACCTACCTCTGTCACCAGTGTCCAGGGGGTCAGCACTGGGGCTGGGAGGGAGGGGTAGACGGGGGGTGTGTGTGCAGAGGGCACCCCAAATCCATGCTCCCCCACCCCCCATTGGGGAATATGGCCTTTTCGGGGTCTGCCCATGCAGAGGGAGCAGCTGATGAAATCAGAGGTGGGGATTTTGCGGAGGGGGGGGACGCAGCATTGGAGCAGAGAGTGAATGAATGAAACTTCAGTGCCCGCTTCCCCCCCCATTTTACAGAGGGGGGAAACTGAGGCATTTAAAGGGGAAGGGTCTCAGACACGCAGACAAGAACCCAGGAGTCCTGGCTCCCAGCCCCCCCTGCTCTAACCCACCAGCCCCCACTCCCTTCCCAGAGCTGGGGAGAGAACCCAGGAGTCCGGGCTCCCAGCCCACCCCGCTGCTCTAACCCACCAGCCCCCACTCCCCTCCCAGATCTGGGGAGCGAACCCAGGAGTCCTGGCTCCCAGCCCCCCTGCTCTAACCCACCAGCCCCCACTCCCCTCCCAGAGCCGGGGAGAGAACCCAGGAGTCCTGGCTCCCAGCCCCCCCCCCCACTCTAACCAGTAGATCACCCTGTCTCTCTCCCTCCCCCACTCGGAAGTGCAGCCGTCCCTGATTCAATGCCAACTGCCCAACCCCTTGTCTGCCAGCTGCAGATGTGCCCTGCCCTATAAGTCGGGCCCAGGGGTGGGGGTGGGGTACTTGGGTTTGCAATTGTTTCTCACTCTATCTGTGCAGCGCCCGGCGCGACGGGGCCCCGTCTCGGTCCGGGGGGGGGGGGTCACGTGGAAAGCAGAAGTGGAAGCAGGTGGTGGCAGGGGAAGCGAACAGGTCAGGCTCAGTCAGAGGACGGCGGGACGTACGCTGCAAAATCCTTCGGTATTTGCACGAGGGGGGGGGGGGACACTACCCCTCTTCCGTCGTGCGAGGCGGTGCAAGCCCCTGTGGGTTTGCACGAGGCTTTGCCTCCTCTCCGTCGTCACGCAGAGGCCGGGTAAACCTGGGCACCTTTGCACGGGGCCGGGCAACTTTCGGCGTTTGCACTCCCGGTGCTGCGAACTGCCCTGCCGCAGTGCCGGGTGCGCAGGGAGAGATGGGGGTTCCCCCCGCCACCGCCTCCACGGCTCCCCCGGGGGGTGCGGGTCAGCTCACCTGCAGGGGGCGCTGCTTGTGTCTCCGCAGGGGGACGAAGTCCCGCGGGAAGCCAGGCCGAGGGTAACCTCGACCCTGGTGTTGTCGGTCTTCACGGCCGTGCTGGGGTCCCTGCAGTGCGGGTACAACATCGGTGTCATAAATGCCCCCCAAAAGGTAAGAGATTCCCCCTCAACGGCACTTTCCTCCCTAGGGGGCGCCGGCTCCCCTCCGATCCCAGGGCGGGGCCTGGCTGGCTCAGGGGGGCGGGGAATGGGGCAGGGGCCTGTCCCCGCTAGGGGGCGCCGGCTCCCACCCAGCCCCAGGGCGGGGCCTGGCTGGCTCAGGGGGGCGGGGAATGGGGCAGGGGCCTGTCCCCTCTAGGGGGCGCCGGCTCCCACCCGGCCCCAGGGCGGGGCCTGGCTGGCTCAGGGGGCGGGGAATGGGGCAGGGGCCTGTCCCCTCTAGGGGGCGCCGGCTCCCACCCGGCCCCAGGGCGGGGCCTGGCTGGCTCAGGGGGGCGGGGAATGGGGCAGGGGCCTGTCCCCTCTAGGGGGCGCCGGCTCCCACCCGGCCCCAGGGCGGGGCCTGGCTGGCTCAGGGGGGCGGGGAATGGGGCAGGGGCCTGTCCCCTCTAGGGGGCGCCGGCTCCCACCCGGCCCCGGGTCAGGGAAGCTGAGACCTGTTTCGGATCAGTGCAGAGGGGAGGGGGGGCCCAGTGAGGGGCATCGGGGACCGACCCCTTTTCTCTGCCCCCCCACCCCGCCCCCGCCCAGATTATCGAGCAGAACTACAATGCCACCTGGCTGGCACGGCACAACTCGCCCATCGACCTGGCCACGCTCACCACCCTCTGGTCCCTGTCGGTCGCCATCTTCTCCATCGGGGGCATGATCTCCTCCTTCCTGGTGGGGGTCGTCTCCGAGTGGCTGGGCAGGTAACGCCCCTCTGCCGCCCCCTGCCAGGGGGCGCTCTCCCCCGGCTGGCGGGGCTGGCCCCAGGGCGGCGCTAGGGGGTGCTGGGGGGCAGGGAGTGGGGCGGGGGGCTCAGCAGGGGGCGCTCTCCCCTGGGAGGTGGGGCTGGCCCCAGGGCGGCACTAGGGGGCGTGGTGGGGCAGGGGGCTTGGCAGGAGGCGGTCTCCCCCGGCAGGCGGGGCTGGCCCCAGGGCGGCGCTGGGGGGCGCGGTGGGGCAGGGAGCCAAGGGGCTCAGCAGGGGGGGCTGTGCTGGGGGGGTGTGGTGGCCAGTAGAGGGTGCTCTCTGCCCCAGAGACCCCTGGGACCTCCCCCGTCATCAGTCTGCTTGGGTGGGGCGCAGGGCACATGGGGCTGGGGTCCTGCGTGTCTCACCCTCTCTCCCCTCCCCCGCCCCCAGGAAGCGGGCCATGATCATCAATAACGCCCTGGCCTTCCTGGGCGGGGCCCTCATGGGCCTGGCCAAGCTGGGCTGCTCCTACGAGATGATGATCCTCGGGCGGTTCCTGATTGGGGCCTACTCAGGTAACGGACAGCGCCCGCCGGCCAATCGGAGGGTGGGGCCCTTGGGCGGATGGGTGGGGGAGTGGATGCCGGGGGATGTAGGGTGGGGGGGTGCCATAGGGGACGGGGGGTGCCATGGGTTGGGGGGAACCTGGGTGGATGGGTGGGCTGGTGGATGCCGGGGGATGTAAGATGGGGGGGTGCCATAGGGGATGGGGGGTGCCATGGATGGGGGGGAGCCTGGGTGGATGGGTGGGGTTGTGAATGCCGGGAGATGTAGGGTGGGGGTGGGGGTGCTGTGGGGGATGGGGGTGCCATGGGTGAGTGGGGTGGTGGATGCTGGGGGATGTAGGGTGGGGATGGGGGTGCCATGAGTGGGTGGGGTCGTGGATGCCGGGGGATGTAGGGTGGGTGGGGTGCCATAGGGGACGGGGGGTGCCATGGATGGGGGGGAGCCTGGATGGATGGGTGGGTTGGTGGATGCCGGGGATGTAGGGTGGGGGTGTGGGTGCCATGGGGGATGGGGGTGCCATGGGTGGGTGAGGTTGTGGATGCCAGGGGATGTAGGATGGGGGGGTGCCATAGGGGATGGGGGGTGCCATGGATGGGGGGAGCCTGGGTGGATGGGTGGGGTTGTGGATGCCGTGGGGGACGCGGGTGCCATGGGTGGGTGGGTGGGGTGGTGGATGCTGGGCGATGTAGGGTGGGGGTGTGGGTGCCATGGGAGATGGGGGTTCCATGGGTGTGGGGGGGGTGGATGCCGGGGGATGTCGGGTGTGGGGGGTGGGTAAGCTGGGATCTGGGCGGATGAGCAGTGGGTGCTGCGGGGTGCGGTTGGCTGGGTGCCCCGGGACCTGGGTGGGGGCCGTCATTGGGTTCTGCATGTCACAGGTACAACCCCCCCACTTCCCGCCATGGCTCAGTCATTAGCATACAAGCCCCACCTCTTAAAGGGGGCGCTTCGTAGGGAACGGGGGGGGACCACAACCCTCTGCCTCAACTCCCCCCCACAGACGTAGGAGGCACGCCCCCCCCATCCTACTAATCTGCTGTTCCCTTCCCCTCCCCCCTCCCCCAGGGCTGGTTTCTGGCTTGGTGCCCATGTACGTGGGTGAAATCTCCCCCACCCACCTGCGGGGGGCGCTGGGGACCCTGCACCAGCTGGCCCTCGTCATCGGGATACTCATTGCCCAGGTAACAGGCGCTTGCGGGGGGCTCGGCAGCGGGCGGGGGGCCGGCAGGGGGCGCCGTGATGCCATCTCTCTCCCCCCCCCCGGCAGGTGTTCGGGCTGGACTCCCTCCTCGGCACCCCCGACCTCTGGCCCCTGCTCCTGGGTCTGACCGTGGCCCCGTCGGCCCTGCAGCTGGTGCTTTTCCCCTTCTGCCCCGAGAGCCCCCGGTACCTCTACATCGTCCGCAACAAGGAGTCCAAGGCCAAAGAGAGTGAGTCCCCCCGCGGGCCCCTCGCCCGTCCCCCAACCGTCCGTCTGTCCCTCCCTCCTTCTGCCCGCCCCTCCCCTCTTCCGCCCGCCCGTCTGTCCGTCCCTCCCCTCTTCCGCCCGCCCGTGCGTCCGTCCATCCCCTCTTCCGCCCGCCCGCGCGTCCCTCCCCTCTTCCGCCCGCCCGCGCGTCCCTCCCCTCTTCCGCCCACCCGTCTGTCCGTCCCTCCCCTCTTCCGCCCGCCCGTCTGTCCGTCCATCCCTCCCCTCTTCCGCCCACCCGTGCGTCCCTCCCCTCTTCCGCCCGCCCGTCTGTCCGTCCCTCCCCTCTTCCGCCCGCCCGCGCGTCCCTCCCCTCTTCCGCCCGCCCGTCTGTCCGTCCCTCCCCTCTTCCGACCGCCCGCGCGTCCCTCCCCTCTTCCGCCCGCCCGTCTGTCCGTCCCTCCCCTCTTCCGCCCGCCCGCGCGTCCCTCCCCTCTTCCGCCCGCCCGTCTGTCCGTCCCTCCCCTCTTCCGCCCACCCGCGCGTCCCTCCCCTCTTCCGCCCGCCCGTCTGTCCGTCCCTCCCCTCGCCCGCCCCCCATCCGTCTGTCTGCCCATCCCTCCCTCCCCTCTTCCGCCCGCCCGCCCCCCATCCATCCGTCCATCCCTCCCCTCTTCCGCCTGCCCGCCCGTCCGTCTGTCCATCCCTCCCCTCTTCCACCCACCCGCCTGCCTGTCAGACTGTCCATCCATCTCCCCATCCCTTTATCTATCCACCTCCCACCCACCCAACTCCGTGGCTCTCAACCTATTTACCGTTCTGGGCCAAGCCAATACTATGTCGATGGCCCTGAGAACGTCACATGGGCTGCAGCTCTGTGCCGATTGGGTGGCCAGTTGCCTGCGGCCTCCGTTTGAGAGCCACGGCTCTAACTCCATCTCCCTTCCAAATCCTACTGACCTGGCCACCCGCCCCTCCACCGGCCACCCCCTCTCTTCTTCGGCCCTCCGTACGGCCCCTGCCCACCCATGACTCATGGATCCATCCCCATTGATCGCCCACCCCCTTCGCGATCCAGCCCTCCGTCTCCCCAACCCATCCGTCCACCCCCAACCCATCCGTCCATCCCCATCTAGTGACCTAGCCCTCCGTCCACCCCCTTTGCGATCCAGCCCTCCGTCTCCCCAACCCATGTGTCATCCATTCCTCCCCCAACCCATCTGTCCCTCCCTCCGTCCCCATCTACCTGCCCATCTGTCCACCCCCAACCCACCCCTCCATCCCCATCTACCTACCTACTCATCTGTCCACCCCCCAACCTATCCATCCATCCCTATCTACCTATCCATCCATCCCTATCTACCTACCCATCCATCCATCCCCATCTACCCATCCCCCAACCCATCCATCCATCCCCATCTACCTACCTACCCATCCGTCTACCCTCCCAACCTATCCATCCATCCCTATCTACCTACCCATCCATCCATTCCCCAACCTATCCGTCCATCCCCATCTACCCATCCATCTATCCATCCCCCAACCTATCCGTCCATCCCCATCTACCCATCCATCTATCCATCCCCCAACCCATCCATCCATCCCCATCTACCTACCTACCCATCCATCCATTCCCATCTACCTACCTACCTGTCTGTCCACCCCAACCCATTCCTCCATCCCCATCTACCTACCTACCCATCTGTCCACCCCCAACCCACCCCTCCATCCCCATCTACCTACCTACCCATCTGTTTACCCCCCAACCTACCCATCCATTCCCCAACCTATCCATCCATCCCCATCTCTCTACCCATCCATCTGTCCACCCCCAACCCATCCATCTGTCCACCCCCAACCCATCCATCCATCCCCATCTACCTACCTCGCCATCTGTCCACCCCCCACCCATCCCACTATTAATCCAATCCCTCCCTCCCCCTGAGTCGTCCCACCCATCTATCCATGCCCCATCCCTCAGTCCGTCACCGCCACGTCCCTCGCTCTCCCCGCGCCGGCAGGTTTGAAGCGGCTGACGGGGTGCGGCGACGTGAGCGAGGCGCTGTCAGAGATGAAGGAGGAGAAGCGGCGCATGGACATGGAGCGCAAGGTCTCCATCGCCCAGCTCTTCCGCTGCCGGATCTATCGCCAGCCGCTGCTGATCGCCGTGGTGCTCCAACTCTCCCAGCAGCTCTCCGGCATCAACGCGGTGAGAGGTGGGGGTCGGGGCTTGGTTCACGGAGGAGCTGGGGGAAGATGGGGTCAGGCGTGGAGCTTGGTTGGGGGGTGGAGCTTTGGGGAGATGGTGGGAGGAACCTGAGGAAATGGAGGTGGAGCTTGGCCGGGACCTGAGAGCTCTGGGATGGAGGCTGGCTGGGGACGGAGCATGGGGGGAACTGGGGCAGAGCCTGGGAGAGATGGGGGTGGGGGTGGGACCTGGGAGAATTGGGGCAGAGCCTGGTTGGAAGAGATGGGGGTGGAGCTTGCTGGGGGGGCAATTGGGGTGGAGCAATGATGGGAGAGAGAGGGTGGGACTTGCCGGTGATGGGGCCTGGGGAATTTGGGGCAGAGCCTGGATGGGGGTGAACGGTGCTTGGGGTGGAGTCTGGCGGGGAGCTTGGTTGGGGGGAGGAGCCTGGGGGATGGGGTGGTGCCTGAAGAAGAGGGATCAAAGCGAGACCCCATGGGATCGGGGGGGGGGCAAGAGTCCGACTAGGGCCGGCTCTGACCCCCCCTTCTCTGCCCCCCCAGATATTCTATTATTCCACCAGTATCTTTGAGTCGGCCGGGCTGGAGCAGCCGGTGTTTGCCACGATCGGCGCTGGGGCCATCAACGCCGCCTTCACCGTTGTTTCGGTAAGAGATTCCCCCCCACCCCCAGCCAGCTGCCCCTTGGGGGGTGGGGGCATCCACACCCCACCCCACCCCTCCCAAATCTTATATCAGTCCCCCTTGTCTCTCCCTCCCCACAAGCTGTTCCTGGTGGAGCGGGCAGGCCGCCGGACCCTGCACCTGGTGGGGCTGGCAGGCATGATGGTGTGTGCCGTGGTGATGACGGTGGCGTTGGTGTATCTGGTGAGCAGCCGGGAAGTGGGGACTGGGAGCCTAGGGGTGAGCACGGCCCCCCCCAGGGCTGCGCTGGGGCAGCGGCACTGACGGCCACCCCGCCCTGGTGGCACCGCAATGCGGGTTCTCAGCCTTGTCTCTCTCCCCCGCCAGGAGCGAGTGCCGGCTATGAGCTACATCAGCATGGTGGCCATCTTTGGCTTTGTGGCTTTCTTCGAGATTGGGCCGGGGCCCATCCCGTGGTTCATCGTGGCCGAGCTCTTCAGCCAGGGGCCCCGCCCGGCAGCCATAGCGGTGGCCGGGTGCTGCAACTGGACCTGCAACTTCATCGTCGGCATGGCCTTCCAGTCCATGGCGGTGAGTGCGCCCCCACAGGTGGGGCGCGTGCAAAGCAACCCTCGGACACACCCGCAATGCCACACAACTGTGTGTAGACATGCAAGAGCACGCAGGCACCAGAATAGCGAATGCCGGCCGTTACAACTGGGAATATGCCCACGGGCAAGGGGGGCAGGGACCCACAGCAGGGCTGGGTCCAAGACTGGCTCCCAGGTGGGAGCAGGGCTGGGAGTGGGAACAAGCCGGCGTAAGCGCGACTGCAGCCACGGGTGGACAAATGGCGTCTCACACGCGCTCGCTGGCAAAACCAGCCCGCACCTCCCTTTGCATCCAGCACTCACCCCTCCTCTCCCCTCCCATAGGACATCTGCGGGCCTTATGTCTTCCTCATCTTCGCGGCCCTCCTCCTGGGTTTCTTCCTCTTCACCTACTTCAAAGTCCCTGAGACGCGGGGCCGGACCTTCGATCAGATTGCTGCCGCCTTCCGACGCACCCCGTCTCTGCTAGACCACGAAGTCAAACCCTCCACCGAGCTGGACTGTCTGGGGCCAGACGACAACGCCTGACCCAGGGCGGGAGCGATCGGCCAGAGAGAGAGAGACAGAGACACAAGAGGAATGTAACCGTAACCGAGCACTTTAACGACACAGCAAGGTTTAGAGATTTTTAGAATAGTTGTTTTGTTTTTAGATTTGTGGGTTTTATTTTTAAGATTATACATATTATATATATATATATATATAGCAAGAGAGTGATTGTGTTGTATGTGTGTGTGTGTGTGTGTGTGTGTGTTTATCAGGGGCATGGAGATAAAGTTGTGTTGAGAGCTGCGGAAGGAGCTCGGTTAAGTGACAAAGGAAGGGGAACCTGGAGGAGAATCCAGCTCAGCTGGTTGCCTGCTCTTGGAATTGGAGGCAGGGAAAGACCGCCCCGAGAGCATATCCAGCAGCTGAAACAGATGTTCAGGCATTCTCGAGCAGCGTATGACAGTAGTAGGCTCCAAAACCGTTGACTCCAATGGGATTCTGCGTCGATTCAGAGACAGGAGACTTTTCTACCGATGAGAAGGTAGGAGGAAGATGCAAAACTCTGGTGGAGTTCTTTCGGTCCTACCGAACGTTGAGCCAAAGGGCCAGAATGAGCGAGATCTCCTCCCTAGCTCTCGGCGTTAGAGCGCGGAAGGTTGGAGCAAGAAGGCCATGCGTCATGGACGCCATCAAATGCCCTGCCTCCGTCGCTGAAAGGCAAGGCTCCCACAGACAGGAGCCGTGGCTCTCTGCCCTATGCATGGTCCATGTAGTACAGTGGCCCGTGTCCGAGAGTGGCCAGCACTTGATCCTTTGGAGGAAACCGTTCAGCGATACAGTGGAGTCACCTCTTAACTCCCCATGGCTGGCAATTGACTCCTAGTGGCAAGAACTTCCATCCTTTTCCGTCCAAGCCAGCAGAACTGAGGTCTGGAGATGGGATCTCCTACGGTCCCCACCAGTTTGGGGCATCGTGCCAGTTTTGAGCCTAAAGCCAATCAGCTCACAGGCATATTGTTCGTTAAGTTGATGAGCGGGATTTCCTGGATGCTCTGACCTGGGACATCCCTTCCCATCCATCTTCTGAGGTTTGTAGGTGGTCTGAGGGGACCTCACCACTCTTCCTGGAAAGCGATTGTCAAGAGAAGATGGTCAGCTCATCTTTGGAGGAGAATTGGTTGCGAGGGGCAGACGAGGGGGGAAAAGCTATCGCCCAACGTGGGGAAGCTTTTGAGAAAGGGTGCGTTGGGTTTTGTGAATTGCAGTCCGCACCAGTTGCAAGTCAACGCAGAACGTGGGACATCCGCTCCACAGCTCATGTCTACAGGGACAAGGAATGGCCAGATTGGATCAGACCCACGGTCCACCTAGCTTGCTATTGTGTTTTAACATGATGGTGTCCTCAGCCTTGCACACTTACAACCTCCTCGCTACAACTGGCAAAAGGCCCCGCAAAGCCCATTGGATATGTGTTGGTGGCCGGCAGAAGACAAGATGCTATGAAGACTGTGCTCAGAAGTCCAGGACAATTTGCTAGTTAAAGACGGTGGGATCATCGGTTGGTTTGGTTTTTTAAAGAAGGATGTAAATACAGAAGCAGCCAGAACAGAGCTGTTATAATTACTGCTCTCCATTTCGGCTGCTGGATGACCGATGGAAGTCTGAAGACAGCCAGCTGAGTTGACCTACAAAGACCAACCTTGCTAAAATTTTAGCGATTAGACCCGACACTCCATCATGCCAGCTGTTGTGGGTGGGACAAAAGAAGAACCCATTTAAGCAGATCACAGGCACAAGAGACGAATAGCTGAGCTTGAAGAGAGTTTATGGACGAAGCCAGGAAGCTTCTGAACGGTTAGTAGGATCTGAGAGAGTTTCTGTTTTGTAATTAACGGAGGCGCTTGTCTTCATGTCAGGGACACATGGAGGGGCATTAGCGCATTATGTGACCTTTTGTATTTCAGCGAGAAGAATGTAAGTAATTCTTTGTATATAAAGGACAGAGTCAAACAGAGGCCAGTGTGGTTGTGTTTGCTTCATTGTAGACACTCATGAATCTAACTGCTCCTATGGCAGAGGTGGATGTTATGAAAGAGAAAAGGATTTAAGGGAAGAATAGATCTAAGGTTTTTTAACCAGGCTACAAACAGACAGATTCATTGTAGCAAAGCAAAGGTGCCATTCTGAAATTCATCCCCAGGTTTCTGGGTGAATTACACTCGGCCCTTGACAGCACCGTGGGTAGATCGTTTCATATTGATAAGGGAACGATAATTTATACTCAAGTCCAGATTTTTGGGGTGCCCTAGTTTGATAGCCCTTGGATACAGACCAATTCCTAGATCTTTTAGGAAAACTCCCCTTGTGAATTATAAACGGTTAGTGATGGAGAATCCACCACCATCCCTGAGTAAATTGTTCCGATGGTGAATAGCCCACACTGACAAAAATTTAAGCCTTATCTCTAGTCTGAAATAAGTTCTCTCTGGAGTCTGCAAATTCTCAGAATTTCAAAACACTGAGACAGGCAGAAGTGGTCTCCGACCATGGCTGGAAATATTGCTTCCCCATTTTGGATGATGCTAATTGTAGTAGTTAAATGTGGTGTTGGTTGGGGAGGGGGGAGGTTAGGTGGATTTTGAGAGTCCCCTTAATTTTAATAGTCTGCTGCACCAAACACATTGCAATTCATAGAGGCCAGAAGGGACCAGTAGACCGTCTCGATCTACAAGGCCATTAAATTTCACATTTCCCCCCTAGTAACTAGTGTTGGACTAATGCATCTTCCAGGACGGCATCCAGTCTTGGCCGGGAAGACATCAAGCAATGGAGAATTCACCACTTCCCTCAGGAGTTAGTTCCACTAACTAACCCTCCCCCCGTTAAAAATTAGATCAATGTTGGGTTAGTGCCTAAGTAGGGCCCTACCAAATTCGTGGCCGTGAAAAACGCGGCATGGACTGTGAAATCTGGTCTCACCTGTGAAATCTGGCTCTTGTAAGGGCGTCGTAGCATTGCCACCCTTACTTCTGCGCTGCCTTCAGAACTGGATGGCCAGAGAGCAGTGGATGGTGGCCAGACACCCAGCTCTGAAGGCAACGCTGCCATCAGCGGTGCAGAAGCGAGGGTGGTATGGTGGGGGCGAGGGGGAGGGGGAGGGGGAGGTACGGTGGTGTCCCCCCCCACACCCAGAGCCAGCCATAGGCCCCTTTAAGCTCTGAGCGCTGGGGAGAAATACAGCCGAGGGCCCCTACTGTGCACCAGGCTCCAGCTGCTAGTCCCGGCTGGGCTGCAGAGGGATGGGACTTCCTCTTTCCCTGCATGGGCCACTCCTGGGGCTGGGTCAGACCCCCCTCCGCTGGCAGCGCAGAAGGGTGGCAATACCACAACCCCCCTCCAAGGGCCTTGCCACCCGCCCACAGCCCCTTTTTTGTGTCAGGACCCCCACTGTTACCATGAAATTTCAGATGGAAGTATTGTATCTGAAACCATGAAATTTCAGATTTTTAAAATCCTAGGACCGTGAAATGCATCAAGACGGACCATTAATTTGGTAGGGCCCTGTGCATAAGTGTTTCCAATCCCATCGGCCCGCCCTGAAAGTGAAGATATTTTAAAGTTAGGCACATATAACTGTCACAGAGCGTGGGGCAGTCAGGGCCCTGTACCCCCCACTTCCCGCAATTCACCGTGCCTCTCAGCCAGCCCGTAAACCAGAAGATTTATTAGATGATAGGAATACAGGCCAAAACAGAGCTTGTAGGACCCTTCAGCAAGGACCTGTCAGTCAGGTCCATCTTGGGGGGGTAGGGAGCCCAGACCCCGGTCTGGGCCTCCCTCCATTTTCCCAGCCAGTTTCAAACTGAAACTCCCTCCAGCCCCTACTCTGGCCTTTGTCTCTTCCCTGGCCAGGAGGCCACCTGATCTCTTTGTTCTCCAACACTTTCACTTGGCACTTTGCCGGGGAGGGGCCCAGGCCACCAGTTGCCAGGAGGTCAGCCATTCTCTGTGCAGAGTGCCTCACCCCTCCCCTCTAGGGCTCTGCAACAATCACGCACCCCTGTCCCGCCACCTAGATACGTAAGAACTGCATAGGGGAAACTGAGGCACCCACCCAGTATTCAGAGAGAACACGAAGAATATTCCCACTTCGTCACAATAACAACCCTGCGCTACCTGTAGTAGACAGCATCCAATACCTAGGCAATCCTAAAAGGAAACCCAGCAAACTTTACTAAGGCCTAGCCTATGCTTGAGAGCCACAATGGGTGATATCATTTATTGGATCAACACCAACTGTTGGAAGAAAGGAGCATTCAAACTCGTTTAATCCACCTTTTTACACTGATCGGGGGTCTCTGAGCCAGAGTTTCCCACAGCAGGTAGTTAGTGGACTGAACTCTTAGGTGTTCCTCCCCAGGACATAGCTTCGAAAGGTCGGGTGTGGTGGGAAGAATTTGCAAGTACTTCCTTAGAAATCCACTTGAGACAGATCTGCTTTTCCTGCTAAAGCGGATCTACGCAATCTCACCCTAGCATAGAAACAGTAGCATTTCTACCACAATGTGACCCAGAGGTATTAACCCTAATTCAAAAAGGTTTAACTTAGTTCATCCGGGATATTATCCAGCTGTCCCGACCCCAGTCTCCTCTTAGGGTACCCTGCTCCACACCTCAGCTGTGCTTGGAGTTAGAAAGTTTTTCACTTGCTAACTAAGTCTCTTTCTCCTTGTTCTGCCCTCAGCGGCCAAGGAGAACACTTGCTCACCACCTTTCATTTACAGTGGCACGCTACCAGCTTAATTAAAACTCGTTAAACACCCACCAATGATTTTAACCAAGGCTGGGTTTCCAGTCAGTGTGACCTCTGGGCAGAAGTGTTGAAGTCATGCAGACCGAGACATTGAAGGACCATGCCTGAATGCCTATTTTTAGCAGTCCAGCTAACACAGTATACCCACATGCACTTTGGCATTTTTCCACCAGTAATAGGACCTGCGTCACCGGGGAGGCGGTTGTCAACTAGCACCAGGACAACAGAGGGTGGATATGCACAAAGATGGGCCAAGAGAGTCAGTTTTACTTGTAAAACTTAGTTTAGACCAGGCTGCAAATCTGTCCTGGCTTTAATTTTTATTATGGGGGCACTGACTCCTCCCACGCGTCTCAGAAGGAATGCATCCACTGTAGGGGGTTTGCACTGGCCTAACAAGACCCGTTTAGCGTGGCCGGTAAAACTTGTGGGCAATAGGATCAGAACTGCATGGTGGCTGAAATTTGCACACTGCTCATTGTGTCTGCTGCCTACATGTATTAAGACAAAGCAGGGTAGGAATTGCACCAAATATCTGACAAGACTGTTCATGAACCAGGGCTGGGTTTGGCAAAATTGCCTCCCTTTGAAAATAAAAGGACAAGGCCGGCCCTTGTCAAAATGCTTGGTAGAGACGTTTCTGAAATGATCAAATCAAGGATCTAAGTCCCTTGAAACCAGCATCTTTTCAACACCATTGTTATGGACAAGCAGTTACCCCAGGCCTTTCGCCCACCAGAAACAGTCACTAATTCAAGTAGACCTCTCCACTAGAATTGGATGGCTTGGAAACTGCTTTCCAGTGATTTGAGGGACCAGAAAGCAGCAATGCATGGCCTGGTATTGCAATTTGTGTATTGTACAGACGCTGGCATTTGAGATATTAATTTTATTAACGTTGCTCAAGGCCACAATCACCCGTTAGTTTGTAAAATTGGGGAATCTACAGTATTTTGAAATTTAAGCTCATCACATGGGGAGGGAAGAGACTGAAAATTTGAGATGGGGGAACAATCTGATTTAGGGTGATAAAAGTTTCTGAACTTAGAGGGATGGGAAAACTTTCTCATCAGCTTTAATTAAGTCTCATCTGTATTTCAGTGAGAAATCAACGTGAAAAGGCACTAGGCTGCACAAGCATTAGATTCAACTCTAGGCCCTGTGTCGGAGCATGAGAATTTCTCTTGGCTTGTGTATCACATTGGCAGATGCCTGCCTGGATGCCTGCCCAAGTGGTGTCTCTTGCTGAATCTCGCTCACCCAAACAAGGACTGAGCTGTCTTTTCAAGCAAGACTTTTGTCATGAAAATTGCTCCGTGCTATTAAAAACCATGCTGTCTGCGACCGCCCTGCATCACCAGAGATCAGCTTGTTTAAATGGGTCAAGTAGGGGTCTTAAGTCTGAGACCACCTCCTGTTTAGGTTGCCAGTTCAAACCCAGCCTGGCCTGGGAGCTATTAGGAGTCCTGGTGACCCCTGTGAGAAGACAGTTTGTATCAGGACTGTCTACTGTGATTAAGATTAAGTTAGACCCCTGAGAGCTCAGGGAAAAGTGGTACCCCCTCCCCACATTAGGGGTACACAGCATGCTGGCCAGACAGTGGGGGACCTCTTACCATCCACAGAAGGAGGATACAGGGTTCCTTTGGATGCTCGAACACATGCTGCTCTCCAGCGGTTTGTAGGGGGTATCAGAGCACCTTGAGAGGGAGAGTTAGCTTGACACAGGTGGGGAAACTGAGGCACAGAGACATGGAGGCCAATATTTGGAGAAAGGCATCCATAATCACAGGCCAAACTGAAGACATGTGAAAGATGATGAGCACCCGCAACTGGTCAACAGACATTCTGGGTGCTCAGCACTTGGGTGTGAATGTGTGTAAGGCTCACAGCACTTCCAATTGCAGAGGAATGTTATGGCCACCTGGAACTTGCAAAAGATCAGCTAGTAAGACAGCCAGGCCACCTGCTAAGCCCCTAGGCCCCAATCTTCAGCCTAGAGAGACTCCTCCCAGAGCCAGGGATGAACCCAGGAGTCCCACCTCAATCCACAGACCAGGAAAGCAAGAGGTGGACCCGCGGCTGTGACAAACGCAGCTCATTTGCCCCCTTAGCAGGGCAGGAAAGACCCGGCAACATCAGGAGTCTGTGCAAATTTCTTTACTGACACCCAAACTGCACACAACGTTCGCAAAAAGTGCT